CTATTGTGATGCTGTGATTGGTCGCCAGTGATTACATGGTACCTTGGCCAGTCACAACACCCTGTACCATATGCTAGCTGTGGACCAAACACAGCATCACAATAGTAAACAATGAGTCATGAATGAAAGCCATTCAGGATAGTTCAAACAATTGCTGTTACACTGTGATCACTGCAACAAGCATTCACAGTGCAGAAAAAAAAAACTGTTAACCTCCCCTCCCCCAGAGTAGTACAGTGTCACTATGGTGACACTCAGCTACTCTGATGACAGTATTAATAAAACATTAAAAAGAGGGAAAAAAAGTTTAAAAAAATATTTAGTTATATATTTATTTACATAATATCAGCATTTAGTATCCCAGATCAATGCCACACCAGTCATATGATGACGCTGTACTGCACTGGTGACAGTGTGTAAAGGAACCTTGTTTTAAGTTTGCAAACTCTGCAGAGAACCCTATTGAAGTCTATAGGGTGAAACATATTTAATTTTGGCTGTTTGTAGGACTAATAAGCAAGTTATTGACAAGCAAAAGGCATGAAAGGCCTAGAACTTGCAGATATGTACCAATCAGGGGCGGACTGACCATTTGGAAACTCGGACACTGCCCGAGGGCCGAGGGTCAGTAGGGGGCCCCATGAGATGCCCCTGGTACCTTTTTCATAGGCTTTTTTGAGTTTGGGCAAGGACACAGGGGCCCCATGATCCTTTATTGCCCGGGGGCCCTATGAGTTGTCAGTCCGCCCCTGGTACCAATGCCAAAAAAAACTGTGTCTATCCCTATACAGAATGGTCAGCTCTTTCTATCAGCCCCAATACACACAGCATGGCTGATGAGAGCCCGCTTTTTTTATTGAAAGGGAGCTGGGTTATCGTTTTCTTTAGATTATTAGCTCTTGTGACCCCAGAACAAAAGATATGCACTGCAAGGTTATTCCTTGTATCTGGTGGTCAAACTACAAACTTGTTGAAGACCTAAGAAGAATATAATCTGAACACAGTAATTGCACAGTATGTAATGCAGTGGCCCATACTCACACATTATATGTAGCAGATTCATTATTTGTCTTAATACACAATTGTCATTCAAACACAACAAAACTTTATTACAGAACTTAGAGGAATAGCATATAAAGTGACACAAGTCTTGATATTTACAAGCGCATGCACATGCAGCTTATCTGAGGATAAGCCAATGAAAAAACACAGTATTACTTCATACACAACCAAGGAAATTTGTTTTAAAAAATATGCATAGAAAATAATCTTCACAAATATGTAGATAAGTCCTGTAGTAAGTGAGGTCTTGTCCATGGTGCTGACGATGGGACTCTATGAAATAATGCTGACTTTCTGTAAATGTCAGTATCAGCAAATAATTCAGTAGAATTTAGTTCCAGGAAGAGTCAGACTTTTCTTTTCGTCCGTATAAAAAGTATTATTTATAAAGTGATGTGCTGTATAGTGAATATGCAAAGTTCCAACTTCAAATGTTTGCTCCACAAAGGTACATGCCAGTGGAAAGTATGAGCTGCAGTCCACAGTTGTTGATTTAGATCATGAACTCCACCATTGCAAGTTCTTTTCGAGTGACTATATTCTACCAGTCCAGCATTATAAAGATCTTCCATTGGGCTATCCACCAACATGAGATACTAGAAATGGGGCACCCATGGGTAGTTCCTATACTCGTCAATTCAAAATAGTAGCCTGCTCATTTGACATTACAGCTGAACTTTATGTTACTTACCCCCAGGGCTTTTTTTCAGCGGGAACGCGGGGGGAATGCAGTTCCAGCACCTCCAGTACTGAATGTTTGAAATGGCAAGGGGTGCTGGTGTGTGCAGGATGGTCTATTGATGCTAGGGGATCTATTGTTGCTGTGTAGGGGAGGAATCTCTTGATGAGGGAGGGGTCTATTGTTTCTGAAGCATCAATTGTTGCTGGGAGGAATCTACTGTTAAAGGAAGGGGTCTGTTGCTGCTGGCTGCTGGAATATCTATTGTTGCCAACAGGGGTCTATTGATGCTTGAGTGGGTCTATTGTTGCTGGTGGTGCTTTTGCTGCTGGCAGCAGGGGATCTATTTTACTGCTTTTTATGTTATCATTAGAAAATTCCATACAAATTACTTTAACACCACAAAATGATACTTGGTTCTGTATTCAGTATACTAAAAGGGGTGGTACTGGTAGGTAGGTAGGTAGGTAGGCGGTGGAACCAAAGGACGGTGCTCGTAGGTGGATAGGAGATGAAGACAAGGGGTAACTTGTAAGGGGGGAGTTCCTGCACCTATTCTCTGGGGGAAAAAAGCCCTGCTTACCCCCCAATATGTCTTCTGCAGTCCTCAGACTGCAGTCCAGTGATATCATGGTTCCTTTCTCTTCTTGCTTGGTGGCAGCAGTGGGTGGTTTTTCCTATTTGACTGAGTGGATCTCAGGTTATGATTAGTACAGTGAGAACAGGCTGTCTGATGACACCACCCAATAGGCATGACTATGATAGCCTAGGCTCATGGGAAAAGGGTTGATTGACACTGGCTGTTATTTACCTGGAAGACATCTAGTGGCAGATAGGAATTACTGCAGTGGTCAGCTCTGGATAGTTCAGCAACAACACTTTGTTTTAATAATAAAATGAACATGATAAAATAACATTTCTTTTTCCTAATATTTATGTATTTATTTTATCATGTTGATTTAATAAGAGATTTTTTATTGGATTTTTTGTTATATATAAACCTTGTGAATAAATTATTTTTTTTTATGAGCACTATTTATAAAATGATAGGTATTTATTTCCTTAAAGTATGTAAAATTTAGATATTTACACTGAAATTATGTTCTTGTCTTTTGCAATGTTATTATTATTATACAGTATTTATAAAGCGCCAATAGTTCGCTCAGCGCTGTACATTACAATGGGGGACAGAACATGTGACAGAACAATAATACAATACAATGCAAAACATGAGGGGATCGAGGGCCCTGCTCTTTTGAGCTTACAATCTAGGAGGGAGGGGATGGTGGCACAGGAGGAGAAAGCTGTGGGGGATGGAGTGGTAGGAAGAGTGGAGGAGGTCGACAAGTTAGCAGGGGGTGGGGTAGGCTTCCTAGAAGAGGTGGGTTTTCAGGGTGCGCCTAAAGGAGAGGAGAGTAGGTGATAATCTGATGGGTTGGGGCAGGGAGTTCCAGGGTATGGGTGACACCCTGGAAAAGTCCTAGAGGCGGGCATGGGAGGAGGAGACCAGGGAACTAGAGGGAAGGAGGTCTTGTGTGGAGCGGAGTGTGCGTGCTGGGTGGTACTTGGATATTAGGTCGGTGATGTAATTTGGGGCAGTATGATGGACAGCTTTGTACATCAGTGTTAGGATTTTGAATTTGATCCGTTGCGCAATCGGAAGCCAGTGGAGGGATTGGCAGAGGGGGGTGGCGTAAATGTTATTGTTTGTTATGACCCACTCCTAATTTTTTTATCTTTGTCTTGTCATACTGGTACACTATTCATTTTTATGAAGGAGACACAGATTCCTGAAATGCATTGGTTCACCTTACAGTATGTCCCTGTTTGGGCTGGTGCCATGACTGCTGATCTATATTTCGGGTTTCAGGGTGGCTCCTTTTTCTTGCAGCATCCTATGGAGCCATCCTTTCATGCAGGGATGCAGGGACCAGTGTTATGTCTCCCTACACTGTGTGCATCAACAGAAACACAAAGACCTATAGCTTGAGATGGCAAGACACTTCCTTGCTTCCCCTTCAATCCCCGCTCCCTTCTCTAAATTAGCAGACTTTCTGGAAATTGCACTGTTCACTTTTAACTGTTTTAGGAAGTTTAGGAAAAGTAGTACTGAGAGAGCAGGAAACAGCAGATGCTGGAGTAATCATCTTAAAAATAGTTTACTGAGGAATGTTTATTTTATTGTGCTCAATGTGTTAAGCTGAAAACCGCTCAGAATGTAAAACTACTCTAAATATCTCACTGAAGATGGCTTACCCACAAGACAGTGACAATGTAGGTGGCCTATGGGTGACCTTCTTGCAAAGGACTCACTGGTGGTGTTTTCACTCCTTACACACTTTATATGGGCTCAGAGACACCTGTGTGCTATCATCCTAAATATGAATTTCAACCACATTTTTCACATATGTGGTGGGTTTTTGATGGATTTATCTGTATGTGTTTCCAGAGGTTGAGTATGCATCTCTGGGCCTTCAAACCTATGTTAAACTCATATGTAGTGTGTTTTACATGCGGCATCATTTATCTGAACAAAAGTGCTGCTTGCTCTAAAATGCACCAACAATAAAGTGAGCAGGATATTTTTAAAATATACAAACCACAGTGAAACATTTAGCTGAGAACTATGCTGTTGAAGATGATGATACCGAACATCCCAAGCACTTTAGGTGCAGTTTATGTATTGTTCGAAAATTCCTAAAGTGCAGAGGTTTCAATGGACCCTAAAGTGCCAACATACATCCACGACACTGTGCACTCTCTTCAGCTAGTAACACACTGGAACTATTTCTGAGGTCCTAAATGTAGTCCATATTGTGAAAGCTCATTTTTCATGTTGGAGCAGATGCAGTTGCAGAGATGCTGATGTTGGTATAGGTGTACCTAGACAATGATGCCCCTGTGGTCCTTCCTTCTTCTTCTCCAACCCCCTGCACCATCCCTCTGCCTTGTACATTCCTGCCTGAACAGCAGGTGAAAGTAGCCAGAAACCCCAGCCGAAAACGTTTGTTCATGAAGCAGTAGATGATGGGGTTCACACAAGCAGATGTGTAGGAGAGCAGGTGAATAAAGGAAATTGGAGCTCCAGAGAGGAGAATCCTGCAGTGGCAGTGTCAAAGGCTCTCCAGGCATTGACACTGAATACTGGCGTCCAACAAATAAAAAATAATATTACGATGACAATTAACATGCGGATCACCCGCTTCTTGGCCATTAGGTTGGCAGCAGAGCTGTTGCTCCTTACTCTTTCAATCTTGGTGTTGTTGGGTGCAGAGAGCTGACGCATTTCAACTTTTTTTTTCTTTCTTTTTGTCTTCTGTAGATAACAACCATCTCCATTCTCAAACTGATTACTGCTTATACTGCTTGTCCGTTCTGTTCAGACAAGGGAGAAAACAGAACAATTACCGTGAATAATGAGAATACACAGAAAATATATTACTCCCAATATCCACAATCACAGACATCCGGGCATCTGTTTATGGAGCAAAGTAACAATGTCTGTAACACAAACTCAATGAAAATAATGAGCCTGATATTTAGTAAAGAGCAGCATGACCTACACCAAACTTCAATATGATTCATAACTTTAATATGCTTGGGAAATATAAAATATCCTTTGTGATCAAAAAGACTTTCCTGTCTTTAGATGGACTGTACATTCTGATAAAGTGGAGAACGGATAAAAATCATAACAATATTATTTCAGTTATTACTGTTTTTATTCTTGGCAATATAATGGTCCATAGGGCATGAAAAAAATCCTTTAACCTCCTTGGCGGTATGATTCCTTCTGATTTTTTGTGCTGAAAGCGGTACCATTTTTTCTCATGGAAATAGTTTTTTATTGTAGGCTGTAATTTTTAGGAAAATTTCCCCACAAATCATTATCACTCAATTCTGTAAGTGGTTTTGATTTACTATCGCTGTTCTCTAGCCGGTCTAAAACCGCTTTTGACGTAAATGGACGCTTTTTGGACGCCATGGACTTTTCTAAGTTTCCAGGCAGAAAGAACAGACAAAATGCAGGCAGGGCACAGGGCAAAGCACTAGGGACAATATGTATGTGAAATGGGATGAAACAGCAATGTTTTACTATTTAAAATTGAAAATAAAAAAATGACATTTTTTAAATTTTTTAAATTTCCCGCCGCCGGCGGCGCCTGTACGTCCCGACGTCACGGGGACTGGAACACAGAAGCCGGATGCCGGCATCGGCCGGAGGAGATGGCGGGGACGCTGCAGGGGACACATCGTGGGAACGAAGGACAAGGTAAGTGCTGCAGGGACCCCCAGAGCAGCGCCGCATGGTAAGCCCGAGTGTAGCTCGGGGTTACCGCTTGTGGTATAGAAATTCTACCCCGAGCTACACTCGGGAAAAACCGCCAGGGAGGTTAAAGTAAACCTTTCCTTTCCCAGACATATAAACATAGCGGCATCTTCACAATCAGCTATTTCAAATGAACGCTGCCTTTCAGCAAAATGTGCAGCTTAAACAGACTAAACAGAGCTCATACTGATATGCAGATTTTGCCTTTTTGCCAAAAGTAAGTAGCTAAGCCCTCATCTCTATCCAGATCCTCTGGTCACTGGTATAAAAAGAAATGAATCGTTTCTTTGGGCAGAGGTGTGGGGACTGTCTGGTCTCACCTTCTCTATGCTGTGTGAGAACCAAGATGGTAGCAACCAACAGAAGAAACAAATGAGTACCGTGTTTTTTGCTCCATAAGAAGCGCCTAGGTTTTAGAGGAGGAAAACAAGCAAAAAATATTCTGAACCAATGGACTGCAGACATAGCACAGGAAATGACCAGAGACTGCAGACATAGTACAGGAGATGACCAGAGACTGCAGATATAGTAGAGGAGATGACCAGAGACTGCAGACATAGCACAGGAAATGACCGGAGACTGCAGACATAGCACAGGAAATGACCTTAGACTGCAGACATAGCACAGGAAATGACCAGAGACTGCAGACATAGCACAGGAAATGACCAGAGACTGCAGACATAGTACAGGAAATGACCAGAGACTGCAGATATAGTAGAGGAGATGACCAGAGACTTCAGACATAGTACAGGAGATGACCAGAGACTTCAGACATAGTACAGGAGATGACCAGAGACTGCAGATATAGTAGAGGAGATGACCAGAGACTGCAGACATAGTACAGGAGATGACCAGAGACTGCGGACATAGTACAGGAGATGACAGAGACTGTGGACATAGTACAGGAGATCACCGGAGACTGTGGACATACTACAGGAGATGACCGGAGACTGCGGACATACTACAGGAGATGACCAGAGACTGCGGACATACTACAGGAGATGACCAGAGACTGCAGATATAGTACTGGAGATGACCAGAGACTGCAGACATAGTACAGGAGATCACCGGAGACTGCGGACATACTACAGGAGATGACCAGAGACTGTGGACATACTACAGGAGATGACCAGAGACTGTGGACATACTACAGGAGATGACCAGAGACTGCAGACATCATACAGGAGATGACCAGAGACTGCGGACATGGTACAGGAGATGACCAGAGACTGCGGACACGGTACAGGAGATGACCAGAGACTGCAGACACGGTATAGGAGATGACAGAGACTGCGGCCACAGTACAGGAGATGACCAGAGACTGCGGACATCATACAGGAGATGACAAGAGACTGAGGACATACTACAGGAGATGACCAGAGACTGCAGACATCATACAGGAGATGACAAGAGACTGAGGACATACTACAGGAGATGACCAGAGACTGCAGACATGGTACAGGAGATGACCAGAGACTGCAGACATGGTACAGGAGATGACCAGAGACTGCGGACATGGTAAAGGAAATGACCAGAGACTGCGGACGTACTACAGGAGATGAACAGAGACTGCAGACGTAGTACAGGAGATGAACAGAGACTGCAGACATAGTACAGGAGATGACCAGAGACTGCGGACACAGTAAAGGAGATGACCAGAGACTGCGGACACAGTAAAGGAGATGACCAGAGACTGCGGACACAGTAAAGGAGATGACCAGAGACTGCGGACACAGTAAAGGAGATGACCAGAGACTGCGGACACAGTAAAGGAGATGACCAGAGACTGCGGACACAGTAAAGGAGATGACCAGAGACTGCGGACACAGTAAAGGAGATGACCAGAGACTGCGGGCATAGTACAGGAGATGATCAGAAACTGCGGACATAGTACAAGAGATGACCAGAGACTGCGGACACAGTAAAGGAGATGACCAGAGACTGCGGACACAGTAAAGGAGATGACCAGAGACTGCGGGCATAGTACAGGAGATGATCAGAAACTGTGGACATAGTACAGGAGATGACCAGAGACTGCGGACATACTACAGGACATGACCAGAGACTGCAGACATAGTACAGGAGATGACCAGAGAATGCGGACATAGTACAGGAGATAACCAGAGACTGCAGACCTTTGGGGAGCGGAAGGGGGGGAGAGGGCACCCGAATTTGACAGGTACCCGCTCCCACTTCCACAGAGTTGTTCTCCCTCCCAGTCTTCTAGGACACGTGAGAGGTCCCAGAAGACTGCCAAACCATTCACAAAGCGCAGCACTTCTCGCGCATGTGCAGTGGGCAGCCGGCTGTGAAGCCGCAAGCTGTTACAGCCGGGTGCCCACACTAAAGATGCCGGCACCATGGAGAGAAGATGGTAAGGACCAGGGGCGGACTGACAACTCATGGGCCCCCTGGGCAATAGGGGATCATTGGACCCCTGTATCCTCGTCCACACTCAAACCACACCCACCCAAAAAAGCCTATGAAAGGTACCAGGGACATCTCATGGGGCTCCCTACTGACCTCGGGCAGTACCCGAGTGCCCGATTGGTCAGTCCGCCCCTGGTGCGGACCGAGGAGTAGGTTCTGCTGCACAGAAGAGCCGAGCAGCCGGCCCGGTATTCTATCATGGCAATGGCAGGAATACCAGGCTGGCCACTCCATATTCGCTCCATAAGACGCACAGACATTTTCCCCCATTTTCATAGGGGAAAAAGTGCATCTTATGGCATGAAAAATACAGTAGTTGGTGATAGACTTGAGCAGAGTTTTTGTTCACTAACTTGCACTGGTGAGTTGTTTATATGCTGAATAGTATGTAGTAGCAATATTTGTCAACATTGAGAAAGAAAATTGTTACATTAAAGTAAAACTAAAGGCAATATTTTTTTTTTAATTTTGGATTGAGTAAGGGAGGGTTTATAACCCCTGTCAGTTTTTGGGGTTGTTTTGCTCCTTGGGGAGATTTCTCTTCATTTCCAGTCCTATAGCCAAAACAGGAAGTGAGAAGAAATCCCTGGTTGTCAGCAGAACTACTTTCCTCACTGGAATATTTCCTGTCTATTCCTGTTCTGGAGGCAACCCCAAATTTGGGATATTCTATCGTGATAACTGTAAACATGACAAATGGAGAAAGTGAATCTCCATAAAGGGGACACAGACAACAATAAAAAGCCTTACAGGTATTCTAATCTCTCCCCACTCTATCCAAATCTAAAAAAAAAAGAAAAATGTTAACTGTGTTATAAATATATACACCGTGTTCCAAATTATTATGCAAATTACCGTATTTGCCGGCGTATAAGACGACTGGGCGTATAAGACGACCCCCCTACTTTTCCTGCTAAAATGTAGTGTTTGGGCTATACTCGCCGTATAAGACTACCCCTCTTCCAATGCACACCAGTGGGAGGAATAGTGCCCCATCATTGATGTCAGTGGGAGGAATAGTGCCCCATCATTGGTATCAGTGGGAGGAATAGTGCCCCATCATTGATGTCAGTGGGAGGAATAGTGCCCCATCATTGGTGTCAGTGGGAGGAATAGTGCCCCATCATTGGTATCAGTGGGGGGAATAGGTGCCCCATCATTGGTATCAGTGGCAGGAATGGTGCCCCATCATTGGCATCAGTGGGAGGAATAGTGCCCCATCATTGGTATCAGTGGGGGGAATAGGTGCCCCATCATTGGTATCAGTGGGAGGAATAGTGCCCCATCATTGGTATCAGTGGCAGGAATAGTGCCCCATCATTGGTGTCAGTGGGAGGAATGGTGTGCCATCATTGGTGTCAGTGAGGGGTGGAATAGTGCCCCATCGTTGGTGTCAGTGGGGGGAGGAATAGTGCCCCATCGTTGGTGTCAGTGGGGGGGGGGAATAGTGCCCCATCGTTGGTGTCAGTGGGGGGGAGGAATAGTGCCCCATCGTTGGTGTCAGTGGGAGGAATAGTGCCCCATCGTTGGTATCAGTGGGAGGAATAGTGCCCCATCATTGGTATCAGTGACACCAATGATGGGGCACTATTCCTCCCACTGAGACTTGCTGACC